TGGGCCGATGAAATCACCCTAGAAGATTTGGGTTTCGCGTCGATGATGATTTGTGTCTAATGTCGCACAAACCTGAAGATCTACAGGCGAAAACTGACAAGCTGATAGAAGAAGCAGTGCAACGAAGACGGGACTTCAAGTGGATGTAGAGAAGGCGGAGGTGATGAAGATACCCAACCAACAACAGCATCAACAACAAGAGGCACCAGTCACCATCAACGGGAGAGACCTAAGGGAAGTAATCTCTTTCACCTACCTTCCTTGGCAGCATCGTTTCAACTACAGGTGGCGGCACAGGCACAGATGAGGATGTCAAAGCCAGGATTGGGAAAGCAAGACAGGCGTTCATCAAGCTGAAACTAGTGTGGGGATCTACTGCACTGCACTCAGCTTAAAGCGTGAACAATATCCGGATTTTCAACACCAATGTCAAGTCAGTGCTTCTATGTGACACTTCAGAGACTTGGCCCGTTACGAAAAGCATTTCTAACAAGCTGCAGACATTCATCCACAGCTGCCGCCTACGCTCACTCCATGCTGAAGATCAGATGGCCAGAATAATAAGAATAAGCGACAAGGAACTCTGGCTGGTGACGAACCAACGAAGCGAGAACCCATCGTCCAACAAATACGCAGAAAAACGTGAAGATGGATTGGGCATACACTGAGGTGGCCGACTGGAGACATCACGCGCCAAGCCAGGCCATCGAGTGGAATCCAAAGGGGAAACGACAAGTTGGGCGACCGAGGTGAGGGTGACATGGAAGAGACCATGTGAGGAAGAAATGAAAGCTTGTGGACAGTCGTGGCGCCAGGTTCAAAAGACTGTAGAGAATAGAGTGAAATGGAGACGTGCTACTGAAGTCCTATGTTCCACTTGGAATTCAAGAGACGAATATTAATGATACTACGGAGAGAATAGCCGCTGAATAGTTTGTTATATAAAAAACATTCAAACTATGTGACTTGTGTACTGGGTTAAAGAGAAATCACGAGATTTTAACCATTATTACACATTTGTAGGTTTTATAGTTGAGCAGAAATCATATGTGAACTTTCCGTAACTTGATTACAACCTTGAAAACTAATTGATTTGGAAATGAAGTCAAGTAAAAGGAAGTGGACTGATTCTATTGATGTTGGTTCTTGGAAGTAGGAAAAATCTGGTAGCCCCTTTTTATTAGTGATTTGCGAAAGCTGTACTGATAATGACTAATCATCTGGTATAATGTGATTTTGAAGATTAATACTTACACCCCTCAACCAGTCTCATTTAAAAATACAAAATTACTGTTTTGTGTAATTTTTACTTCTTCAAAGAAATAGTTAGGCGTGAAGTTGCTAATTATTATTATCACATTCGATGATTCTGTTATGGGTCAGAAGAAGAAAGCATTCTGAAGAAAACTTTCTATTGTGCCACCTTCTATGGTCTGATTCGTCAGTAAGATAAAGTTAGATAGTTTCGTTGTCCATTTCTGTAGATCCTTCTTCTTGAAAGTGTGATAATGTTCTGTTGAAGAATTATAAAATGAAATGAAAGGATAAGAATCAATTATTCAAGGAATCTGCTTTAAAGTACCTTGTATCATCTGACGACATAATTTCGGAAGACTAAATTAGCAATGTAAAGACACGGATACGAGAGGTATTTCGCGTAATAAATAGCACTACTATAAAGCAGTCAACTTGATGGAAGAAAAACTAGATGTATCGATAGCTTTTTTTGAAGATAATCTGGGTAGCTGTCAGGCTATTCTTATTGTGATCAAAAGGAATTAGCATCGCCAGACTGAAAATGTAAAACAATCTAGGGAGAGATATCTGTATAAATGTTTCTAGAATATAATTGACTTCCAAATGAGATTGATGGGTTGAATCGAAAAGGTGATGACATCTGTAGAATCAGTGATTAAATATTTGATTTAATCCTACCTATAATCTTAAATAAGGGACTCTTGACTATATGTCTGTAGAATGTTCAAGATCCTTTCAAAATAACTACTCTCTAACTCCTAAATGTTAATTAACTTGTGAATTTGGTTCTGTAAATTTCAATCCTAACATTGCGTATTTTGAAACAATTAGCCCCCTTTAATAAATTTCGATAACGCTATTAGAAGACGAAGTTTATCTGAAAATGTGATGTATTTGCGCAATACATTTCGAAAAATCTGACCACACATTTACTTGTCAAGTTGATTTATATATGAAAATTAAAGGTCAAATATAATGAAAATGAAAAGGCTGTGACAGCCGCAGCTGTGCGTACAAAGACAATTTGTTGTTTCACTTAATTTACCTTGGCAATCCCTTTCTGATTATATTACCAAGACTCGTGTCACAACCTTTTCATTTTCATTATATTTGACCTTTTATTTTCATATATAAATTGACTTGACAAGTAAATGTGTGATCAGATTGTTCGAAATGTATAGCGCAAATACATTACATTGCTCAGATAAACTTCGTCTTCTAATAGCGTTATCGAAATTGTGTATTTTGTTTAAGTGGAAAACTAACCAGAACTAGCGATAATGGTACTCACTGTTCCTACCGAAGGAATCTCGCGAGTACACGGAAATTTCAAGAAATATTCAATAAGTTCTGAAGTATTGACTTATTTTTGATGGTCACTTATTCATGTACCATTTTTCATGATTCAATCGAAAGTCTTTCGTTTCTTAAACATGCTTACTCATAAGTAGCTACAATATTAAGTTGTCATTTGCTTTATCATCGTATTTGAAAGGGTTGCATGATAGTACGACACTACGGTCTTTTAAAATGTACTGTATCATCTTCAACCGAAAATCTATAGAGAGTTTAGAAAATTTATCACACAAACCAAACTACTGTATGCCACAATACGTAGCTTTGCTTCGGGTAGGAATATACTGGAAGAAGTCAAGAGGGACGAAATTAAGAAATGATACAAATCTAATGCGTCTTTGGTTGTTGGACTAAGTGGAGCAGGGAGTGTAAGCATCCTAGATGCAGTCTATGGGACAACTGGAAGTTTAGATTGAACACTACGTAAAATAAGGTAGAAGTGATCTCAGTGGCTCATGTATATCTATATTATTATCTTAGACTAGCTTGTTATATTGGATATCTTTATGCATTATGAGTAAATTTTTAATGCAAAGTTTACACACAATGATAATTTTTTACTTTGGTAATATTTCTAGCAAAATTACTGTCCGTGATCACACCAACAGTTGAAATAATTTAGCAATAGTTATGATCACGGGCAATAATTCTGCTAGAAATATTTCCAAAATAAAAACTTATCATTGTGTGTATACTTTGCATTACAAATTTACTGATAACTCATTGATCCATTCCACAACGCACAAACGTTTCATTGATATATGTGGTACCTTTGTATCCTTTTATGCTTCACCTTTTAGCTTTTTGAAACCACTGTCAGCATCATTTTGATTTCCTTCTTTACCCAACTGTCAACTTTCACCAAGAAGTGAATTATCGCAACTTGAACAGCTGTACAATAATACCAGGCTCTGTTTGTGAAAATTACCGACTTGAACATTATCTTCGTCCTTAAATGTTTTATTCAGTAGTGATCACCGTACACCGAAATGACACAGATATAGAGGGTCACATAGATTCTCATGAAAAAAATGCATCATTTCAAGCTAACACAATGCAGCATCGAAAAAAATGAAGAGAAATATGATACCCATATAACAAACAGGGAGAATATATGTAGTATGAGAAAAAACAAGACTGACTTAAAATCATTTCATCAAGAGTAGTTGACTGTTGACATCTAACTTCTTCAGGAACTCAGTCAGTTAAGTAACTTATAATTTTCGACATCGTATAGACAAACAATCAAAGATTTCACGAACTGGTTTAACATCCTAGTTTCGTCAAGTTAGTCCTGTTCTTGTTGGCAATGAACATCGGCTTATGTAGTGGCTTGACATAGCTTCAGACAGGAAAAGTAGATCAGAAGCACTACTGAGAAAGTTAAGACAAGCATTCTTTAGCATCTATCTTCATAGCTGAGAAGACAACTGAAACGATCAGTAGTACCCAGTTACTGTTAAGCTTCAAACCAAGCGAATCCAAGCATTCAAATAATTTATGGTATTTAGCGGACGCATTTCAGTGCGTTTTTAATATGGCTGAAATACTAGTAACTCGGATGATCAGCCTTAACGTTTGCATTCAAAAGAAGTTTGAATACTTTATAAAGATTAGGTTAAACTTAATAGATGACTTTAGGTCAATCAGTTTTCAAAATCTCTTATTTTCCCACCATATGGTACTCTATTATTGATAACCCAAATAAAGTCATCACCAGCAACTATTCTACTGATAGTTGAAAAAACGGCATCACCGGTGTAGTGTTTCATTTGTCTTCAGCTTCCACTCTTAGCAACGTATGTGGCATTTACTCCAATTCAATAAGTCACACTCACTCGTTTTTAAGTTAGGGGTTAAGGCTTAAGCGTTGTTTCTACTTCTTCGTCATCAAAGTTTTGGATATTTAGAAATCTCGTGGCATTTGCAGCCTGGCACTATAATTTGTGCAGAAAAAGGAGAGGATGGATGTAATGTGACAAGATAGCTTAAATATGTTGCATAAACGTTTAATAGAGTAGTGCACCTGCGGATTTTCCATACTAATGAAAGATTGTAGTCACAAACTGCAACATAATATCCTTCTTCAAAAGACAGCATAGATAACATTTGACCAAGAAACCTCATCACTGAGTTTTGCCGACTGTTGTCCAACCCTCCTGATTGGTCGTCAGCTTCATTAACGTCAAAGTTTCTGGTTGTTCTTACTAAGTATGCTTTAGGTTTGCCTTCCATATATCTTATTAATTCTGTTCAGTAGGTAATAACCAGATAAAATCAAGTTGTTAGTTGTTAAACGTAGTGTTTTAGAAGCTTTTGACTGATATTGTGATACTATAAGAATACCAAGACATTATCTACAATCCATTTTTTATATTTTATTTTAGTTATGTCTTATAGGTCTGAAGAAATTCAGGACATCGGATCAGATTTAGATTTCTTGAATATCATACTTCGGAGGGAGTTGTCCACTAGTGAGGTAAACAAATCCTCTCTGCATTCACTCTCCGCAAAGGAATTACGCAGGATTTTTGTAGATGGAGTCGAATATGCCAAACAGGTAATACGACGGTGTGACTGGTGATGTTTGTTTAAATTTTGATACGGAGCAAATGATTTGATTACCGGTAACCAGGGCAGAAGAGTATAGTGGCAGATCGATGTTTATACTGACTAGTCTCTGAACAGGTAGACCGCAAGCTTCATTAATATAAGTGTAAAACTTGGACACTGTGGTAGAATGTTTTTGACTTTGAGATGATCATAAGCAGAAATTTAATACTGTATCATTGTGCTACATAAAATAAACAGATTTATTGTGAGACAGATGTTTTCTACTAGCCTGTAGCTGTGGCTCACTGGACATAGCACTCAAACCCCGTTCTAACTACTGGGAACTGGCAGGTAGTATCGTGAAGCCTCCCATAACAGATATGGCTCACGGCTTACTTCACGTAAGTGCCTATGATATTTTTTGATTTCGATGAGCCTAATGCTTATCAACTCAAAATTAGGTCTGTTGGTCAAACAACTGGTTTGTGCACACACACACACACACACACTGGAAGAAACTGTCAATCATTTAAAAAGTCGTGATTATAAAAATATCAGTATGAACCACTTGCCAAACAACAGACAGTCAAACGAAGATAATAATCATATGTATTAGACAGCAGCTAGTGAATTCTTACCATCGAGCGTAAAACAGAATATCTGTCCACCGTTAAAATATTTTCCTGGACATCTTTCAATCACATCAGTAAGACAGTGCAAATATTCTTTGTTCTCTGCTGAAATCTGATTATGCAGATGAAAGTAACTTCATAACGTTAATTGACACGTTGGAGAGAGTAATTTAAAATTGTTCATATATCTCGAGGATGAGGCTATGTGTTTTAATGTGATGCTGTAAACAAACACTGCTTGTTTTTGTTTTTATCACGTTATTCAATTTCAAAGAATTGTTCGTAACAACAAATCAAAATTATCTGCCACTTACTTCAGGATTCGATTATATTAATTTTCCCTCATAACATTTTTGTAGCGTTTAGTAAAATGGTTGGCTAACAGCTACATTTTAAACAAGCAATTTATTTTACTTGGAATTTCACACCTGAATATAACAATTACATCCCACCGAATTTTAATCAAGATAGAACACGACTTCTGGATTAAACTGTCAGTAACAAATAATATGATGTCAAAAATTGTTCATCGCTTGTTGTGCCGACCCAACACCTACCTCGATATGCAGTGCTACAGAAAGCTGGATTAGGTTGGAAGAGGGTTTAGGATGGCCAAACAAAGACCAGCATCAGTCGGTGACTGATCTGAGTAGTGTGAGGGGAGATGTACACTACCTATTTGAGGTCTTCGAGATGGTGGCAGTAATTGGTTGAGGACTCTTGGTGAAGTGGCTGAAAGTCAGTCCTAGTGGTGCAGATATATCCACTTTTTCACCTCATCTGAAGCTTGATCTTCAAATTGCTTATCCTCTCACACAACTTTGTCTACTCTGATATCACTTTTTTTATAAACCTGTTCTTTGTGTGGTACTATGAAGTGTGGCAACTTGAACCGTTGCACGTCTGTGCAAGGTTCTACGTTGAATTTTTCTGTCTGTCATCGCTTGTTGGTAAACATTGCAACTAATTAGACAGAAATTTCCTAAATGAACCGTTTCTTTAACAACTTAATAGGAATTTTGAAGTTTCTTACGGTAATTTGATATGTGAATGGGAGCTTTTGATCGCTGACATTCTACATTCCATAAACGGCAAATCATTTTTCGGATGATTATAATCTTCAAAAAGTGCATGTCGAACTCTTTTAATTGTTTTTTCTTATCTTAAAAATAAATACAAGCATATAGCAAGAAAACTACAATGCAGAAAGCATGTCAGCACCTTATACGGCATTTCCTAAAACGGTAAAAGTTTCCAAATGAACGTTATATAGTATGACTTTGAAAACTTAACATTTAGTCAAAGCTAACTAGACAAAGTTTAGGAGTTGATCGGTTCAAACGTATGCAAAAAATTTCTGGTTAACAGGATCATCGAGAAGTAATCGTTAATTTTTTGATTCTGTGAGACGTTTTAGTCAAACTCAACTATTTATACATCACTTCGAGATAAGATTCAAAAGTCTCAACTTTCACCAGTGACTGTGCTACGAAAAGATATCCCAGATTCCAATGAAATCTTGAAATTCAAGGGGCCAACTGAATAACATTCAATCACAGCGACACGTAGAACAGCAAGGAATAAGTCAAGCAAGCTATGTCATGCACTGCACAAAGGTCAGAACATCAGTGGTAAAAAGTTATTTTCACTAGGAAAAATACTACTGGAACAAACAAAACAAGAACCATTTTCGAACAAAGTGAATTCCATAGGGCGAAACTGTTTATTACAAAGTACTGGGTTAGACATTTGGGATACTGTTTTGGGCTAAGAAACAATAACAATAGTATATACCTTAGACAGTCTTCAATTTGGATTTTGGCTTTTTAAGTTTTTTCACAAGAGCCGTGAAAAAGCACTGCTTTTTAAAAATCTTACTGATAACCGGCAATATAATCTTCTTACAACCCCAAGGATGACTAAGTCGTTCGATCTTGTAGTGAATAGGTTTTCATTTCACGAAGGAAATGTTTTATGAAAGACTCCCTAAGAAAATTTGATGTGTTTGCATATGACTGACTCATATTTTTCTCTGGCCAACAAACAGAAAATACACTTATTAAGTCCAGATATCTGCATTATGTAGAAATAAAGCGTGTAAAGAGAGATCTAAATGTACATCAGTGTTTACTTTCCTAATTAATTTTTGAAAAGTCATCTGTTTGTTTCAAACCAGTCTACTAACCGACATAGAGAATCTTAACAGTGCACAACTTTTGCTCGATTTAATTCAGTCAACTAACATTTCTCTTTCATTTTTATTTGGTTTTCAAGATTTACAACTTACTAGCTGCCAGACGTCGTACGGCACACTTCCCACTATTTGTTACTGTCCATCGTATTTGTCAAAATGAGGCAAAACCTCAGGAACTTATTACATGCTTACAGTCTCATCCAATTCATGCTGAACACCAGTTCGTCAACAAATGGGTAAACAGCCAATGCCGATATCCGCCTTTATCTTGAAATCTAACCAGTTTCACATCTGAGCAACTATATTAGTTGTCAGAACATTTGCAGTCTTTGAACACCAGAACTCACTTGTTCTGCCTTTTGACTAACATCTAATTTTTTTGCTACTAACTGTCAAATAACTGATTTTGCACATCCGGACTTTGATTTATTATCATCTACACTAATATTCGACTACCCCAATAAAAACCTGCTATGTTGATTATTTTTATTGTTAACTTGTCCTAGATTTATGTTTGTCTATCAGTTGAATACTTCATGACCATCTTCAGTGTCCCAGACAAGATAATTCAATTGAAAGAAAATTATATTTTACTTCTTCGTATATTTAAACACTGCGAGATATAATTTCTAAACTATCAGAAGTTCCATTCAAACCAGTAATAGGATAGTAAGTAATGTATCTGAAACCAATCAGTGAAAGTTGTATAGTCCTATACCTTGGAAGCATACTTTCGCGCATAACCTTTTATTACGAAATAAGAACGGTCTTCAGAGAACATTTGAGACTTTGTCCAGAACACGAATCATAGGACTAGTCAGTTAAATATTGACTAATAATTACTTGGATAGTATCACTGACGTAATTAAATGACATCATTGCAGAAGTTCATTATTACGAAATGTGATTTGCTATCGTCCGTTAAATCGCACTGAGAAAATCTATCACATGGAAGAATACCTTTTAAATTTTATGGTAAACTCCACAGACTTGTTGCTCGTTTAATGAGTCACAGTTTTATGTGATAAAATATGGTAATTGCTATCACTTAAGCAATTTTCAGCCCTAGTTTATTCATCGTACAACGTCCTATACAAGATCTGATACCAAAACTCACAGTCACCGAAAACTAGAATCGCTATTCATGAATCAAATCAAAAGACTAAGGATTGGATAACGTAATCTCATTCTGCACTGTTACACTTTCCTTCGTTGTCAAGCATGACTTTGCAGACATTCTTTTTTAACTTAGTATTGTGTATCTAGAGAGATACAGTTTAGGCATAAACTCAGTTGTGTAACCTCAATTAACTGTAAACTCTATCCGTCGTTTCGTACCCGAAATAGGTATACTATATTTTTGTAATTTATTGTAGTCTGAGTAAGCTTCTCCCCTATATAAACATATTAGCTGTAAATCTGATAAAAGAGGGATAAAGACTGCTAGTTAACGAGTCTTAAATATCTTGTCTATTCAGTCACTTATTGGCGTTAGAAAAGTGTAGGTAATTATAGCGATATTCAGATAATGAGGCGTGTAGAAAGTCGTTATCACAAAATGGCAGCAAAGTTACATTTCGCAGTTATCCCTGACAACCATATGAAGTAATTATATTGGCTTATTTGACGTTATAAGTGTATCGGGGTGAGTTTATCAGTAATGATCACAATGGCCGATAAACCGAACCAACTTTCACATGAAAAAGGGTAGGGTGACATATCCTGATTTGAGTCATATTTCAGACCGTTTATTCACTCTTAAAGGTTTAGTGAGGAACGCATTTGCATATGAATTTTCGCCAAACGCTTCCAAACTCTGAAACCAAGTTGGTTAGACCTACTTCAATCTCAGTGATCTAATACCAACGCTAAAGTATGAAGGAAGTGGCATCCGTCTGAATTAACTAGTTGTTGACGAAATTCTACCTAGAATTCAGAAGACCTTTTTCCCACTTGGTGTCTTGGACAACATATGACGCTGGCAAGGGACTCAAGTAGTATACTGTACACCAATCAATTTAGTTTTATCTTACGACTGTGAGATATTGACTGCCAAAATCAGAAGGTATCATGAGGTTAAGGGGTTGTGATAACAAATATCTCTGCGGTATAACTCACTTGTGGTGCAATCAATATGTGAGTAATGATTAGATTCGGAGTACTAAGAACGGAAAGAAAGTTAGCTAATGAGGTCATGAACGTTCACCAACTGGGTCGTAATCAACAAAGTGAAGCGTAGGAATAATTACTGTTGATTCTGTTAGAGCATGCATATACTCTTGATGTCATCCTCATTCATTCTATAACAGTGAATCATGAGTTCAATGCAATGAATAGCATACTGTATCTTTATTCCTAATGATGTATCATTTTCAGAAATGAGTTGGAATCTACTTATTGATTTACAGCACGTGTAAGTACTGATGGATTTCTTCAAGAATTCAAGTGCTTTACCCAAGCAATGGAAACGTTCATAACTTTCATATTTAAGCCTTTCTGTCATCCGTAACCATACAACAACCTATCACCACGAATTTCATCACTGTATATGCACCACGAAGGATGTATATGAAAGAAAGTATTCGACAGTTTAGAAAATATTTAGCCAACTTAGAGGTATACATATAAGTAGTTGGTAACGCTGATTTTCAAGCAGTAAGTGCTGTACTACAAGAGAATGAGTTTAAATTTAAGTTCAGCCATCTTGATGATTAGTTGGCAGGAAAGCTATTTGGTTGAGAATCACCAGTGGGAAATTGGGGACAGAAGTCTAAGAAAGCAGTAAGAAACACTAAACGTAAACTTGAGTGCTTAGAATGACCAACGAACATTTGCATAGGTTGAAATGACAGCGATTCAGTTACAATTGTTTATTTAAGTAGAGAAATAAATTGCAATTAGGGTTTGTATACTTTCATTTTCAATTCAGACTACTGCTAACATTTTCAACATATAAGTATATCAGCAACTAATCACATAAGGACATTTAAAAAAGAGTGAATTCAAAATGACGTAAGTTTAAGCAAATACATTATAAGTATAAAAATAAAGATAGAAAGACACCGAATAAATAAAAAATCATCATGGACAGGAATTACAACTGACAGCTGGATACAGACATCATGTCACACCGACTATGACTTGAAAAATTCTAGCAAGGAACGCTGTTTATTCGACGAACCAGTTGTTAGGATAGCCTTCGAGCATCTCTTTCGATACATTGGTTTTCTGATATTTTGTGCAGATCCACGTTTGGCTATTTCTTCAGACTTGCTAGACACCGTGTTACTTTGTGTTTTCTTTGTATATGAGGCTGTGTAGGAACAAATTCTCAAATGGATTAGGTAACATTTTTGCAATTGTCAATCCAAACAATAAGAAACACTACACAAAATCTGATAGATTAACTTCTCGAACTTCTTCAAGTACACAGTGAACATAGATATTAACACACGAAGGATATCAGACATATTTAATTTAATAAGATGATGCATGAAACGAAAAATTGGTAAGTTGAATTAAAATTCGTGCTTTCAGAGGATAAAAAGATGTATCACGGCGTGTTGACATCCAATAGGAGTGCCCAAGAGACGTCAACGGCTAAAGGAGGAACAAGTTTATGTTTTCTAATCATGATGACAATTCATGACAGCGATAACTTAGGGTGAGACGTTTTTCTAACCGAACCAACTTTATATTTTGCCAAACAGCAAATTTAACCTTATGAAAGTACAATTCGTTCAATACGTTTATTTCAGCCCACTTAGTAATAGGTATGTAGGGCACTTATGACATGAGGTCAAATAATACTTTCAATTAATGTGAAACAAACTTGCACACTCGAAATGAAATGTAAATTACTAAGGCTTGTAGAATTACCAAGTCTTTAAGTTGTTGCATACTCATAAAGTCTTGATTGTTACGTGCTTTCAGCATAACTCATTTAAAACATGTTTTTTTTACCCTCAAGAAATATCTTCAAGTGTGAAGTTACTGACTATAAAATAAAGTTCATAAACGGTGACCTATAGTTATCAGTTTTATTTGCATAAATTGCAGCGTGCTTGGATTATGATTAACATAATCCAGTGGACACGGTTGGACAGTGGAATGGATATTGTTTTTGACCTGTTATATATATATATATATATATATATATATATATATATATATATATATATATATATATATATATATATATATATATTTACAATATCGAAATTCTCTACAAGTCCCAGGATGAAAGAGATTTGTGTGTTGTGTTAAGAATCCACTTTCCAGGACTGGTGTTTCGTCCTATTTGGGATTCGTCGGCTGGATGTACCTGCACCCCAGTGAGTGATGTTGTCCCCACTGAGACTCAAACCTCGTACCTACCGCTTCAAACGCCGAGGCGTTATCCACTATGCCACGGAGAAACGATACCCACTTCTTGTACGACGGGTAGTAGTAGTTACTATCTATTGACATACTTACTATTCTCTGTTTTGTTGGGTCAAATTGTTTGACATCTATTGGCAAACGCGTGTTCTGGATTCTTCTGCTAGAGACAACCAACGAAATTATCATAATTGACATTCAGGCAATATCGAGGCATCAGCATAGGAGACCATATGCCAATAGACATCGAACAACTCGACCAGACAAACTAACGGAGAATAACAAGTATGTCAAAAAATAGTAATCCACTTTCCGATATAAATTTTCTGAAGCAATACATTTTTGTCAACTTTCGAGTTTGGCATCTGGTTTTGGCCAACAAACCGAAAAACATTTCCAAAAACCATACCTCTTTGAGTAATTTTACGCTAAAAGATTTCATCTATATAACTTGATTATAAAATTAACCACACAGAGTGCTTTAAATATGAAATCGGTCACATCTTATGTTAAACAGAATCCAGACAATGGATCACTTGGATTGCTGGGGGAGTAATTTCTATATGAGGTGGGAAGATTTTTAACTTTTAGTTGATAGACATAACTGCGTGAATTAGAGCACACATAAAACTATTTAATAGACTTTACAAGTTCTCTTTTCTTACCATTTTTAGTATTCTCTTCTGTAAATAACGTTCTTGATCTTCTGTTTGGCATTTTAGGCAATTTAGTTGGAGTTCCAGGTTCAGAGTAACCACTACTAAAATGTAACATAGCTATAAAACATCGTTCTGAATAGAAATTGTGTTGTCAATGAAATAGCTAATAAAAACGTGAAGATAATAAAGAGAATGAAAGTGTGTCGTAGAGAAACAAACATCCTAGTAGCTTGAGTACCACTCTTAATATTACGTTTTGCATTCACACTGATAACACTAAAAAAAATCACTTATAAGCGCATCCACACCCTAGCATATGCAGAAAAACTCAACTCATTTGAGAGAAAAAGATACCAAATGTGTATTTGTAAAGAAACTGGCTAAAATGTTAGTCGAGGACGACAGCATCACTCAGCCTGAAGCAGACAACGGTAGTTCCCGGCCTTCTTTTAAAATATTGATAGAGACAGTATGTGACCTGAACAAAAAGGTCCAAAGAGTCCAATGAGTCTCGAAATCTTTCTTTAAGTTTTTCGACGAAAAAGGATCTATTTCTATAGCACAAGAAACAACTAACAGTGAAAGTATGTTGCTTTTGATAATTGTTGTTACAGAGGGTCGGATCGCTCGACCTCTGTTGGCAGATGGGTTCCTATACAGGATACCTCGATACTGTCTGCTTACCCACTAAACTGATGTCTGTTTGGTGGCTAGCAGCGCAACCTAGGATGCGTATTCCTTCCTATTTATGATTTAAAGTAGGATAAACCATGGTTGCTATTTGAACCACAGCTAATTACTTCTACAAATATTACTAAGCGTCTCCAACTGACATCAAATTCCAAAATATGACCAATGAGCTAAGGATAAACGTGGCTAGTGACTTGACAGGATTCCAGAGTCTATAGAACAAGGATTTATAAAAACCTTAAAAATCAAATAGTGCTGTTACGTCAAATGGCGTATCCCAAGTCAGTTTACATAAAAAGCTCTTCACTTATATCAAATATGCAGTTACCAAACCACAAGTTCAATACATAGCTGATCAAAATTAAGCAAGCAACTTAACCCGGTACAGTTTATATAATAAACTATGGACCATACTTATTCTCCGAGGGCTTATAGTACTACTCAGTTGTACAGACCAAAGTTGGTGCAGTCAGCATTGAACCCAAGACCGATTGCTTGAAACTGAGAGACTTACGCATATGAGGCATATCTCCATCATTCAGCTTGGCTTCACTGATCACAAAGTTAGCCGTTGTAGTTCCGTAACTGTTGTATGCAATATTTAGGACTTTCGTAATTTGGTAAAGAAAAACAAGTATTGTATAGTACGGTACCAAAGAACAATCATATTCTACTTTTTGATTCCCCAATACTTTCTATGAAGTAAGGATTAAATAATTTTCAAGAGACTATGTTACATTGTAGACATTTAGTGTTTGCCAGGTAACAAGGATATCATTCTACTTACTTTAGATTATTATCTTTAGCAAATGAGATATTAGATTGTGAATCTTCATTGACTATGCTCCAACTCGGCAGTGAGTTCGCTTCATCAATGGAAAAAGAATGAGTAACCAAAGGAGAACAATGACCACTGACCCATTCTAGATTAGACTGATAATATGACATGACTATTCGTTTAGGCTGAATGAAAGCATTGATGTAAAACAGATAAAAATAAATTAAATTTGCCTATCTATAATCTTATGGGTTTTAAATAAACTGAAAACACTCAGTAAACCAAGTCAGCATTATATAGCCGATATAATATTCAGGTAAGGATTATCGTAAATGACATATGTACCGTTTCGTATACTTGCACACAGTCGGTAAGCAAACAAGCTATCAGAGCTTTTACTAAATATACTGGATTGTACCTTATTAAAATATTTGTTTCTCGCTAAGATTTTACTTGCAGACTCTACGAAATACAAATTCAATGAAGTAAGATTGCCTCACATAGGAATGTGGTTCACTTGTGTCCAACTTTGAGTGAAACACACGAGATCCCAAACCGTGCACCAGCGATGGCTCTACCGAAAACTGATGATGCCTAGAAACAGGTTGTGATATTCACAAAGCTATAGAAAACAGTCCATGTAATTCAGCCTACACTCAACTAATCCATACTTTTCACCCAAACGACGCTTCTATGAGCTTAGACACTCAAGCTAAGCGTTGGAGTTTCCAGAAATAAATCTATCAAGTACACTTGGAAAAGATATTTACTCCATTCATGGTGAAACTTATCTTCAACTGCATCCAGGTTGCAGTCATCCAAAAAAAAAACCGAAATGATGAAGAGGTGTCGTTTCCCTTCGTAGTTTCTCCTTATGCTAATCACAGCTTTTAGCTAAATGGGATACAGACGGTTGTTGGTGTCAGTCCCGACGACTAGCACAGTTTCGGATTCAGTACTGTGTGGAAAATTAAAAGAAAAAAATTCAAACACTGCTGCCAAACGGTATTTAAATTGCAGCAAGATTAGCACCTTTTATGCTGACAGATGGAGCAACTATTTCCAGCACTTCGCTGAGATCCTGTGTTCCTCAGATGAAACGGAGTCATAACAGACTTTAACGAGTGAGTCACAGGCAACCTGCCTGTTTTCAAATTCGCAGCCAGTTCCGAATGTTGAAAATAGACCTACGCAGAATTCTGTATTGAAGTGCACCGGTTGCCACATTTCACAGAAACATGCAAACAATAAATATATAGAGAAAGTGGTAACAAAGTATACATAAATGCACGGAAGGAGAAAGAATTTGAAACATATAGGTTGGTGAACATGCAGACACTGGAAAAAAAAAAGAATGAATACATCTGTAACAGTGCGGCATGTTTTCAGAAATGTTATCATGAGTCTCAAACCATTTATTTTATATCATCTGTACAGCCCAAAACAGACAGAATACACCTCGCTACATACCACAGACCAATAGTCAGAGACTTCAAGAACTCGTGCCACTTCTTCGCCTGGTCAACCTCATACCTCTTAGAACTCAATGTTAAGTCGGCTAACATTGTACCTCGAGGTAGGCAGTGGCTCGGAATATGTGAAACACCGAAGACAGACACAGAGAGACGAAGTCAAAATAGGACCTGACACCTCTGTGTCATGGTCCAGGATACCAAACCGCATGACAGTACAATAAGCAGTTATATCCTAAAATGAAATATGAAGAAATAACGATCGGATATAGGCGATGGACTGCTTCAATTGGGTGCAGACAAGCAAATATTTCAAGCCATTACGAACTTCGAAAATGAAGAGAGACACTACCTGACCTGGCATAGAAACGGCTAGCCTCATTAGTGGACGCATACGGACCATAAAGCTAGCAATTACTGCCGGAGGGGATCAGTAGATGACCACAACCCGGAGCATATGCTTGGACAGTGATCGCACGTTGGTTTGGGCGCACGTAAGTCCATGTAGGAATGTTACAGTCGCAGAACAGTTACATGATCATGTGATGATGACGAAGACATCACCAGTTAGACAGGGTGTCTACTCCTTCTACTTACCACAGATGTACTTATGGAGGTTTCTCTACGCATCTTACTCTACAGGAATTTACCTTTTCACAGAGACTCCTCAGTAGACCAACAGTAAGGGGTGACATAGTCCTGTTAGGTGAAAACCCTAACAAGATTGAGTTTTCTGGACACCTTAAGTATCAATTCAAGAACGTTTGAAATGAGTTTTCACCACTCCAATGCAAATTGTTGCTGCAGGACTAGTCAGTATTCTCGCTTAATCTAACAATAACGCGTGAACAAGTGGTTCAGTTCTTCTAACACTTGTCTAGGAAATCGGATCAGCTCTGGTGGTTCACTGGGCGACATAATCTCTGCACGGATACAAAAGGCTCAACTGGATTTCGCCAACTTACGCCATTTATGATTTCACCATGATATTTAATCGTCTTTTAAAGGTCGAGTGTATTGCGCTTCATTTCACCCTGTTCTACTGTATGGATGTGAAATATGAACATTAAAGGCATAGGATACGAAAAGGCTTCAAGAGTTCGATCACTGTTGTCTTCGTAGCATAGGAAATATGTCATAGTGTCACCACATCAGTAATGCAGAAATCAGGTGTAGAATTTTAGGAGGGAGAGGGAAGTCACTTGGTGAGGTTTCGAATACTCATTGACTAAGGTAGCTGGGACTTGTTTTATGTATGCGTAGTCACTGTTTGCCTCATCACAGAATGATAGTGAAAGGTCTAGGCTCGAAAAAGGTTAGAGACTGGCAGACTAAAACACACCATCATTGCATGGAGTCTCTGACTGTTGGTCCGAGTCGTGTGAGTAAATCTAGACTTCATAGTTGGGTTCCAAATGACAAAAACTAGTGGTTTGCAAACCTTGGTGAAATGGCTCGGAATCGATCTCAATGCACAGATGTATCCACATATTATCTTCACCCTAATCGTCAAACTGAATTTCAGCATTTTCTCATTCCTCCTTGCCTTCTTTTGATGACTACCAACTGATTTATTCATTCGACTTCAGTACATTCTCACTTGATGTGGTGATATGAGGTGTGGCAACTTGCAACGTTACGCAGTAATCCTAGGAAACACGTTGATCCCGACTGGTATGTAGCATCGGGTTGACGTAAAAGTATAAGTGATAACGATAATAATGCATCGCACTTCTATCTAAAGGCCTACTCTTCCATAGGTTCCACATTATACATATAACTTAAGAGTGATTAGGATTCTTTAATTCGCAGTGTGCAAAAGTAAGATGTGATTAGGAAAAAACATTTAATGTACTTTATGTATAAAACCAAGTAAATTAAAAAATATGCAACTAACTGAATGTGTCATGAATATTAATTTAGTTTTTAAAAGCTGCATTTACACAGACTACACATAATTCAAAATTACCACTGGAATGGAACTGTTTTCATCATTCATTTGGTCTTGAAGAGGAGGTTGATCTTTAGCGCCTGGTGATAAACTTCGTATAACTGGTGTAGATGGAGATGCAAACATTTTAAGTAATTTGCATGTACGACCGTCTGTAGTTGGTGTGTCCAACTTCAACAACCGATTTGAGGGTGTTGTTGAACAGTTGTTGCTAGGCACATCACTACTAAGTACATGAGGACTAAGTAATGGATTGATAGGTTTAGTTAAGTTACTTCTTGACCGTTCAGATTCAGATACAAGCAATAAACGTATAAGTTTGTACGCTGCTCTACCTCGAACACTTCCTCCGAGGATTGCTGGCTGTATTAGGGTTAAAGTAACAAAATGAAAGAATATAACTGTATACAATGTACATACGCAAACATGAAAACAGAATGATTAAAGTAGCAAAGTGAAAATATCCATTCATACAAAATTTCGAGCGGTAAGACAAGTAAGCACTTATATAGTTTATTTAGGCCATATGACTAATCACACATATTTAGAGTTAACTGCATCCGCTGGCGTAAGGATTCTGTCAAAGCAGTCTTACTGTTCCCATAGACATTGAACTTATTCGACAACTAACTTCCTGTTAGTAAAGTCAAGCATCTTTCAACCATAAGAAAGTTAAACTACATCCACAGAAAATGGCAATGTGATGAAAAGCGTTTGACACAAAAAAGATCTTGACCAGCGTGTGAGGAATTTTACAAATATTGAATACCCCTGTATGTAGACAACCTTTAGCATTCTAATTCTCACAGTATTTTTAACTATCATATGGTCTACGCTTTATATATGTTGTTGTTCATCACAATTTTACCATCACTTTTATGTGTATTCAAGTAACATCTCATAAAGACTTATATGCGTAGGTTTTAATATTATCAAATACCTACTAGAAAATCAAAATAAGACCTTTTTGAACGTTCCGCTATGTAATCCACAGCTTCTCTTAAACAGGTTTCGTATCATATTAAAACCTATCGACACAACGACTAAATCAGATTCGATGCCAAAATTCTTATGCTGGTTTCAACGGTTCGCAGTAGTAGTGTCCTTCATGGTGACAACTAACGCTCAGGATTGATACTGCTTTACACACACCGCAAGAAAACGTTGCCAGTCAGCTTGTGGATTCCTCCCTGGACCAAACATTCCACGTACAGTGTTCCAGAACATCTTTCAAGCAGCAAAGCAGATAAAAACAACTCAAAACGCCACAAAAAGTAGTGAGACCGCATTAGGTAGATACCGTGAAACGTCGCCAACTGCTAAGATTTAACCAACCGTACAGAGGTTTAGATGAACATGCCTTCACTACTCTTCGGAAGTTGGCTCGGCAAGATAATCTATCAGTTACTCAGGTCAGTTGTGTTTTTGTTTCTTTGCGGTCCACAACCAAAATAGTTATGAAAATAAGTGTGCTTATTTCTACATCCACCGACATATGTGATTTCTTTTTCCTACCAATACTCATTTTCATTTTAAACATGTAACACTACGAACATTTATGAAGTTTTAGAGAGAAAGAGAGAACACTACTTGTTTCCTTCCCTTTGTAGTTAGTTTACGTTCTGCTCGCACATGAATAAAGTGCGTTTAGCTGCTGTGCATAGTATCGAATTTACAGCATGCTGCTTCTAAATATATGTATTTAGAAGTATTAAGTACCACTGTGGTAGACTATGAGTTTAATTATATTTACAATCTTGGTCACAATCACGTTGGTCTTATTGAGCCACCGAATGCATCGTCGTGCGATACTATCTAATGTAGAGTTATATAAGAAAAATGTTAGATATTTAAAAATAATAAACTACGTTAACCGAAGAATTTACTGACTGCCAAAATTATTTGTATAGATCAGTGTAATGTAATTAGCCATAGTTCAGAGACAAACAGAAAATCGACAAACTGATTCTCGAATGTGTGATCACAGCGTTCATTCTATATATTACAAAAAATCTGTAAAAACTTTTTATTCGTTTCCTCATTGCCTACTTTTACAAACCCTTTGGTTTCGCATGATGATCCGAATATTAAGGTGTAGATAATCTGAAGGGACACATTTCCTTATCTTATATTTCATTAACTATTCATTATACACAATCAACATGAGTGTGGTCTATAATCGTTTGAAAAGGGTGCTCCAAATTTATACTAAAGTATAGAACGCTAATTCTGGCTTTCCAAAGGTTCATCAATTACAAAACATCGATAGCCATATAGTAAAATAAGCACCTCGAAAGCTCCTACATCCTATCTCCCACCCGCAGCGCCATCTTTCATAGGAACCCGGTGGGAATCAGAAGACTACTGTGCACTTTCCTGGTGCTTTAATCGGCAGTCGGATATCTTACCAGCGCAAGAGATGATACAAGCTGACGAGTCCGGAGTGGGTGTCATGTATTCAAGCTGAGATTTCGTCAGCAAGCAACCCGTTCGAGCTGGTGCAACTTCCGGAGTCAGTAACCAAGTGGTTAACGCATTCAACCAATTGACTTGCTGTCGTTTAACTAGGAGTTGTTATATACCAGTTTTGAAGCATCATCTTTCCTACGTGGAAAATGCACGTCAAACATACTCAGATTTGTGCTCCCGGCGTTGAGAAGATTTTGGATATTGTCAATGTTTTTGCCTAACACTGCTACATCATCTGTGGACTAGGTGGTTTCTAGAGAGTAGATCAGTCCGTGTAAAGTTGGAGTCACCTAGGGTCATATCTGCTGACAGGTCGATGACAAGGTTGAACAGGAATGGTGACAGTGGGCATCGACGATGCACACCGCTGGTCGTTATCACTTCAGATGACAACCTGCCAGAAGCGCTTACACGGCTGCATGAATTCGAGTGTGGAGATTTGATTGGCATAACATCCTTACTGGGTACTCTCTTCACAGTCAGACACTGCCATAACACCTCTTGGTCGAGAAAGTGGAGTACCACCTCCTGATGAAGAGGTGTGGAGGGTGTTAGGTGCTGGTGAGTGGATGTATGTGTTGAGGAACCTTTCAAAGGGTGAAGATGTGATGGACCGACCGCCGTTCAGGTGTGAAACCTACCTGGTTTTCCCGAGTTGCCATTATACATGGTATAACTATACACCGTAGGACGTTGGATAGCATGTCAGTCAAACTGATCATTCATTCCCTTGCAGCTGTCCAACGAAGACTTTTCTCTTTGCTTAGAAAACAGAATGATCATCGATATAGTGCGGTGGGATGAAGGACTACTTCTGATTCTCATAGACGACCAGCTGGTATCTCGGTTAATTTAACAAATGATTTTCTGAGTGGATCCGTAAAGGTGATAGTGAACCATCAGGTTGTGGTGTTTTGGATCGTTTTGGGTTTGAGACAGCCTTCTCAACTTCGAGGAGAGTTCGGGGAGCGACACACGTAGATCGGATTGAGGTCGACATTGGATGTTGGACAAATGAAGCGTGGCTGCAGGTCAGTTGAACTGTTTGTTCTTCAAGGTGTTCTGCGCAGCGTTCTAGCCACCTGCCTTTAGAGATCATAAGGAACCCATCCTCTTCGGTCATAATATGATTGACCATCGTCTTGTTGTACTTATGGAGGTTTCTCTACGCATCTTACTCTACAGGAATTTACCTTTTCACAGGAGACTCCTCAGTAGACCAACAGTAAGGGGGTGACATAGTCCTGTTAGGTGAAAACCCTAACAAGATTGAGTTTTCTGGACACCTTAAGTATCAATTCAAGAACGTTTGAAATGAGTTTTCACCACTCCAATGCAAATTGTTGCTGCAGGACTAGTCAGTATTCTCGCTTAATCTAACAATAACGCGTGAACAAGTGGTTCAGTTCTTCTAACACTTGTCTAGGAAATCGGATCAGCTCTGGTGGTTCACTGGGCGACATAATCTCTGCACGGATACAAAAGGCTCAACTGGATTTCGCCAACTTACGCCATTTATGATTTCACCATGATATTTAATCGTCTTTTAAAGGTCGAGTGTATTGCGCTTCATTTCACCCTGTTCTACTGTATGGATGTGAATATGAACATTAAAGGCATAGGATACGAAAAGGCTTCAAGAGTTCGATCACTGTTGTCTTCGTAGCATAGGAAATATGTCATAGTGTCACCACATCAGTAATGCAGAAATCAGGTGTAGAATTTTAGGAGGGAGAGGGAAGTCACTTGGTGAGGTTTCGAATACTCATTGACTAAGGTAGCTGGGACTTGTTTTATGTATGCGTAGTCACTGTTTGCCTCATCACAGAATGATAGTGAAAGGTCTAGGCTCGAAAAAGGTTAGAGACTGGCAGACTAAAACACACCATCATTGCATGGAGTCTCTGACTGTTGGTCCGAGTCGTGTGAGTAAATCTAGACTTCATAGTTGGGTTCCAAATGACAAAAACTAGTGGTTTGCAAACCTTGGTGAAATGGCTCGGAATCGATCTCAATGCACAGATGTATCCACATATTATCTTCACCCTAATCGTCAAACTGAATTTCAGCATTTTCTCATTCCTCCTTGCCTTCTTTTGATGACTACCAACTGATTTATTCATTCGACTTCAGTACATTCTCACTTGATGTGGTGATATGAGGTGTGGCAACTTGCAACGTTACGCAGTAATCCTAGGAACACGTTGATCCCGACTGGTATGTAGCATCGGGTTGACGTAAAAGTATAAGTGATAACGATAATAATGCATCGCACTTCTATCTAAAGGCCTACTCTTCCATAGGTTCCACATTATACATATAGCTAAAGCGATGAGGATTATTAGACAGTTATGGCAGCGGGATGACGTCATTCTGTTGGAGAATGGTGCCCCATTTAGTTTGCTGTAGAACCAGTGTTGAACGCGGTATGTAACTTCGATGAAAAAGGTTTGAAAAGGTTAGTGGATCTCAGTAGAACATGAACGCATTGTTGTATGCTTCAAGCACAATGCAGAGCGGAAGCAGATTGTCAAAGAGTGAGTAGTGGTGGGCATTGAAGGCTGAAGAGAAAAGCCAGCGGTGAAAGGCATCAGTGAACAGTTAGTTGTTAGTGAAAATACGGTCCGAGATAGATGGGTCTTCGATATATTTTCAGGAGAGACAACTGGAACGATGAGCAGAAAAGTTCAACTGGCATTTAGCTAGTCTTCCGTTGCCTAGTATCCAGTTGCAGCCAGAGTGAAAGATTGACATACAGCCTTCAACCTTAGCAGAATTTATGAAGATAGCAAATAATCGGAAATGAAGATCGGCAATGAACCTCAAATGTTCTGTACCGGAAACACTTAAGCAGAGTGACCCAGAATTATTGCCTGGAGTTGATGGGTCGAATTTGGAAATCAGGTACAGTAACTTATGACCAGTCTCAGCCGTTGACTGTCACAGTCTTCAAGAAAGGAATAGAATTCTTTCATGTTAATCTTTAAATGAGCTTGATAAACGAAATACTTAAGATTCTAGGTTATATAATCACTAGACATGTAAGTGGCACTCGGGAACAGCAAACACGAGAAAACTATACAAGCAGGTTTCAAACCTGGCTGAAGGTGAATTAAGCAGATGTTCACCCTCCGCCAGGTTCTAGAATATACGCAAACTTACCGACAAAGGATACTAACTGTACTGTTTGACCTGAAGACCATAATCGACTCTAAGATCGAGATTTCTCATGACAGAGTTGGATTCATCACTACTTTGAAGGCTCCGTGTTGAAACATCAGTGGTAGGCTTAGAGCCTCTTGTTAGGTATATGTTGACCTGTTATGTTGAGTGGTGTCCGCCAAGGATGCTCAGCCTCTCCATTTACGTTTAATTTTGTCATAGGCGTGCTTACGGAGGTCACTGTCTCCTTTTCTGACTTAATTGGGATTGAGCTCGTCACAGGAGACTTTGAGCAGTTATTGGATGCTGAGACAACATAGTTCTACTAGGTCAAGTTAATGACAAGGTGCAGAATCTTCTGCACACTTCATGTGGCAGTTTTACAATGTTTGACATGCCTTTTTTTACTTCCCAGATGAGGTTGCAAACATGGTCGAATGAGGTAGCTAGGGTACACGTTACACATACCTAGGCACTGTTTCCCCGTTAAGCTATATCAGATAGCGATTACCTTGGAAAAAAGAGGAAGATAACTGGAGAAAAACATAGCATCAGCCTATTGAGTCCACTACTGTCGGTTTGAGCCATATCAGGGAATGTACACTTTCAGTTAAAGGTCTGTATGAAAAATCAAACCAAAGGTTGAAGACTAGATCAGAATAGACGTCAGTAATGCAGATTTACCCACAACTTACCTTATGTTCATCTCAAATATTAAATTGTCGAGATGCACTCATTCCGGCTTAAGTACTGGAATTTCAAGTAATGAGTTCAGGGTTCAGAACTTAACTAACTCAGCCTCAGTCATCGGCGAAATCCAAGTCTTCTAGATTCTTTTCCCTGGTCCAGTGTATCCCCCTCTTCTCGCTCCCCACTGTTTGCTGCATGATCCAGTCCACCACAATCAGGAATATCATAGGGGATAGTAGGCAACCTTGTTTCACTCCTGTCTTCACTTCAAAGGCATCACTGAGCTTCCCATTGTGGATTACTTGGCATGTGGCATCTTCATATAGTTGTTGAATGAGGCGGATAAAGGTTTGCGGTACTCCGTAGTATTGAAGCAGTTTCCAAATTACTTCTCGGTCGACGCTGTCAAAGGCCTTCTCAAAGTCGATGAAGTTGAGGTAGAGAGCTGATTGCCATTCTACGCTCTGTTCTATGATGATACGAAGCGTTGCAATTTGGTCTGCACATGATTTGTACTTCCTGAAGCCTGCCTGTTCCGGTCGCAGTTTTGAATCCAGTGCATCTTTAAGCCTCTCCAGGATGATGCGGCTTAATATTTTACTTGGGGTGGACAGGAGAGTGATTCCGCGCCAGTTCTTGCAAGCACTGAGGTCTCCCTTCTTCGGCAGTTTGACAAGGTAACCCTTCTTCCAATCACCAGGTACCTTCTCTTCCTTCCACACCTTCTGCAATAGTGGTGTGAGCATGGCCGCTGTTGTCTCTGCATCTGTTCTCAGTGCTTCTGGCGGTATTCCATCTGGTCCTGCTGCTTTCCCGCATTTCAGTAGCTTTATGGCGTTCAGGACTTCCATTTTCGTTGGGGGATTAATGTTCACTTGTAGTTCAGCGGCTGCTGGTGGTATTTCTGGACGAAGTGCAGGTGGTGGTCGATTCAAGAGCTTCTTGAAGTGGTCGGCCCATCGTTTCCTCTGTTTCTCTTCTTTTGTAATTAAATTTCCTTCTTCGTCTTTTATTGGTTTCATCTGTGTTGGTCTCTTCCCTGATAGCAACCTGGTTATTTGATACAATGTCGTCAGGTCTCTCTTACCTGCAGCCTGTTCTGCTTCACTTGCCAGTGTTTCGTAGAAGTGTCTTTTGTCTTTGCGTGCACTCTTCTTCACTTCTTTGTCCAGTGTTTTATACATTGTGCTCAGTTCCTCTTGTCGTTGAGCATCCTTGCACTGGTTTATCTTCTGCTTCACCGTCCTTCTCTCCTCTATCAGCTTCCAGGTATCCGTCGAGATCCATTCCTTGTCTTCTTTCTTCTTCCTTCCTAATACTGTTGTGCAGGTTTCTTTCCACATAGCTTTCAAAGACTTCCAGTGTTCTTCCACACAGGTTTCTTCACAGATGTTCCTCGATATCTCCCATTTTGTCTTGATGGCTGCCGTGAAGATCTCCTTTGTAGTTTCATCCTTCAGTTTCCGAGTGTTGTACTTGAATTGAGGTTTATCACCAGCTTCCTTGAAGGCTTTTAACTTGATTTGGAAGGTTTCTTGCACTAGATAGTGGTCTGAGCCTACATCTGCTCCTCTTCTTGACCTTGTGTTAAGTAGACTGCGTCTCCATTTTCTTGAGATTGAGATAAAGTCGATTTGATTTTTAGTGTGTCCATCTGGTGAAATCCATGTCGCTTTGTGGATATCTTTGTGCCTGAACACACTGTCTCCAATCACCAAATCGTTGAATGCGCAGAATTCTGCAAACAATTCTCCATTCTCATTCATTTCACCTAGCGCTTCTCGACCCATGGTTAGTTCTCTTCCTGTGTTGTCCCCTCCCAGTTTGGCATTCATGTCGCCCATCAGAATTTTGATATCGCCAACTGACGTCTTGTCCAGTGTTGATTGAAGTTGTCTGTAGAAATCCTCCTTTTTCTCTTGCTCTGCATTATTTGTAGGTGCATAACATTGTATGATTGTGACCTTTCTTCCTTTTGAGTTGAATCTTGCTGTCATGATCCTGGAGGAGATTGGTTCCCACTGTATGAGATCCTTCGATGCTCTTCAAGGGGACATCATGATAGCCACTCGAAACTCACTGTTCTCATGGTTGTCGTCTGGGTGAGAGTGTCGGAGTAGATTATTGATTCTCCAGTTGACAGTTTGGAGAGTCCACTCCCATTCCATCTGCTTTCGCAAATCCCAAGCACTTCGATGTGATACCTTCTCATCTCCTATGCAATCTGGGCTGCCTTACTGGGTTCAAACATCGTACGGACATTCCATGTCCCCACGTTTACTTTCGCTTTCATCGAGAGAAGACACATCGGCCAATTGGCTTCCCGAAGGCTTTCACCAACTGGCACCATTTCGCCTCTCCCATTCCAGCGGGGAATAAGTTTGTTTTCATTTTTTATATTTTGTTTGTGCTTTGAAGTTTCTTTAGCGGTTAGATTTGTTTTACGGGGTAGGGTTGCTAGCCCTATGCCCAACCTTCCCTCTTTACCCGGGCTTAGGACCGGCTAGTAACTAGTAAACTAGTTAACCAGGCGAGGTTGATGTTAGTTATGGTTCACTGGTTTAAACAGTCAGTTTCCAACCATCGGATCAAAGGTGAGAATCCCGCTCTAACCGCTTACGTTTGGATAGCCAAGTATCATCACTAGCTCCCACCCAATATGTGTGACTTATTAGCTAGTGTGCGAAACCGGACGTGATAGCTGAGTTATTATTATTGTTATTATTCCACCGTAAATATCCTTCTGGTAATCACCAGCGCGACAAGAATGTCGGTGATCTGCATTTTCTAGAAAAACTAAGAGTGATTTGTGATGTTGAGATGTGGATCATTGGCTTGAGCACTTGGCCACTAGCTGATGGACCATAACTTCAAACCTAGTGTCATTTACTTCGACATGGGTGACCAGGTAGTGTAATAAGCCTTCATGCAATAAATGCCGCTCACAACTCAGTGCGTAAACACTTGACTGGGTTCGGTTTTATCGTTATTAATTCGCGGATGAACGATAGTTTAGCAGTTCTTTTCAATGAGCTTAAAGAAGCAGTTTCGAGCAACTTGCATCACAGTAATTTCAACATTTAGTGTGTCAAAAAGGATAGTTTATAGAAAATTGGAGTGCATTTCACGAAATAACTACTTTCTATGATATTGATTAGTCAAGGAAAATCAGCAGGAAGCCGATGTTGTCGTGTTACCAACATAAACTTGATTTATATTTTCGATTGTATTTAAACCACAAGATATTTTAAGTGCACCTTACTTTTCACACCAGTACAGGTAACTGTAAGAAAATTCAATAGCGAACACCTTGGACGTACTTTAGGAAAACCATGAAAGAGTCATTACAAACAAACCCTGGGTTTACAGTTAAAATAATCATAGATTACAAAATTCTCACACTACGCATTCATAAAAACAATTCAAAACTCCAACACGCTAAACCAATATTTTGACGATGGAAAAGTTCAATAACTTACTCTATCTGGTGTATCGCAACACATTCTAGAAACAACAGACGTGGAAGACAGCTTTTTAATACGTTTGACAAGGTTTTCATATACATTCGGTAGCTTTAATAGGTTTATAACCGATTTGGTTTCTATATCCATATTTTTCCAACTAAACCAGGATTCCGCAGTATACGACATGATGCACGCAGACATTGAGAAACAGACTGAACAGCACCATCAACAGACATCAGTGAACTGGCACTGCCAGATGCTAACAAGTTATCATCAGCTGCACCAGATAAAATGTCATGACTTCTATTGAGAGAATCAACCAGATGAATTAAACCTGAAGACCATTGTCGAAGAGGGTGATTACCTTCAGGAGCATAGCTTGAGTCTCCAAGTCTTAAACGACCAACAAATGAAACCGCTACCTAAGTCAGATAAGAAAGCAATAAAAGACCATATTAGTTTGTTTTTTAACTAGCAATTCATCACAGCGTCATTCAGGAAACTAAGAGATATGCAAAGGTTGATAAATACATTTCTAAAGTTGAAAAAATGGGTTAAAAGAAGAACGAATAATTAGGTAATTCATGTTTGAAGTAATAAGTCCACGACTATTCCTCACAAGAAACAAATATTAAGCGACAACATAGATTACTGAATTCATAATAAGGAAAGGGAGATATAATTCAAAGGTTAGGACTGCCTTGAAATTATAAACTCTGGTTCATTGACTTAGACAATCAATTCCCAACTGCCAGAATAGATGTGAATTCCCCAGACCTCATCTACGTCCATACAAATAAGAAGAGTCAACAGACATTATCAAAAGCTCTTGGTTTACTAGATAGTGCACGAACCCACTAAGGGGTCACTGAGTCAGCACATTAACATCAACAGACGTTACCAAATTACTTGGTAGCGGTAGAAGTAGCAATATATACCACAACGGTAAAAGGCACCACAGTGAAGGATAAACGAAAATAGAAAATGCTCCAAAGTAAAAGAAATTCATAAAAAAGGGGAAGAGATACTAAAGCAATAGAAAAATGCGACAAAAAGATTACGACGTAAAAAACATTTGGCAAGAAAAAGAATCAAAGAGTTGGATAACTTAGAGTCTCTAACAGATACTTTTAGCTATCATGTGCACCACAACCATGAAGTAAACACTTCCTGAACCACCTCAATTCAAAAGTGAAAGATATCAGGGATATAGGTGTGTCAGACTGGCCATCTATAAAATTTCTCAAAGCTAAATTAATTTTCGTCAACGTCAACGTCGCAGGAACTGAAAAGCAGGAAGCAAGAAAGCAACACATGATACAGACATACAAGCCCTAAACAGTTCGTATTCTCTCAAAGAGAAATAGCATGTTCAGACAGAAATGCACATAAATATCCAAACGACGAAAACTAAACGACCAAGAAAAATTAATAATGAAAACAAACGCGTAAGGACAGAAGCCAACAAATACAGCAAAATCCAAAGGCCTCTGAAAATACTAAGAAGACAAGACCAAGAGTCGAATATATCCAACTGAAAAACACAAACAGATAACAACACAACAAAAAGATGCTCAACCAGGTAAAACACAAGCCGGCAAAGAGTCTTCGAAATGACCAAGAGCAGCGGTGAGTAGATAAGAAAAAAAAGACAGAGAAAACATTAAAATCATGAAATAATTGACAACTATTTAGAATCATTAGGGAAATAGGCAACAACAAGACGATGGTCAATCATATTATGACCGAAGAGGATGGGTTCCTTATGATCTCTAAAGGCAGGTGGCTAGAACGCTGCGCAGAACACCTTGAAGAACAAACAGTTCAACTGACCTGCAGCCACGCTTCATTTGTCCAACATCCAATGTCGACCTCAATCCGATCTACGTGTGTCGCTCCCCGAACTCTCCTCGAAGTTGAGAAGGCTGTCTCAAACCCAAAACGATCCAAAACACCACAACCTGATGGTTCACTATCACCCTTTACGGATCCACTCAGAAAATCATTTGTTAAATTAACCGAGATACCAGCTGGTCGTCTATGAGAATCAGAAGTAGTCCTTCATCCCACCGCACTATATCGATGATCATTCTGTTTTCTAAGCAAAGAGAAAAGTCTTCGTTGGACAGCTGCAAGGGAATGAATGATCAGTTTGACTGACATGCTATCCAACGTCCTACGGTGTATAGTTATACCATGTATAATGGCAACTCGGGAAAACCAGGTAGGTTTCACACCTGAACGGCGGTCGGTCCATCACATCTTCACCCTTTGAAAGGTTCCTCAACACATACATCCACTCACCAGCACCTAACACCCTCCACACCTCTTCATCAGGAGGTGGTACTCCACTTTCTCGACCAAGAGGTGTTATGGCAGTGTCTGACTGTGAAGAGAGTACCCAGTAAGGATGTTATGCCAATCAAATCTCCACACTCGAATTCATGCAGCCGTGTAAGCGCTTCTGGCAGGTTGTCATCTGAAGTGATAACGACCAGCGGTGTGCATCGTCGATGCCCACTGTCACCATTCCTGTTCAACCTTGTCATCGACCTGTCAGCAGATATGACCCTAGGTGACTCCAACTTTACACGGACTGATCTACTCTCTAGAAACCACCTAGTCCACAGATGATGTAGCAGTGTTAGGCAAAAACATTGACAATATCCAAAATCTTCTCAACGCCGGGAGCACAAATCTGAGTATGTTTGACGTGCATTTTCCACGTAGGAAAGATGATGCTTCAAAACTGGTATATAACAACTCCTAGTTAAACGACAGCAAGTCAATTGGTTGAATGCGTTAACCACTTGGTTACTGACTCCGGAAGTTGCACCAGCTCGAACGGGTTGCTTGCTGACGAAATCTCAGCTTGAATACATGACACCCACTCCGGACTCGTCAGCTTGTATCATCTCTTGCGCTGGTAAGATATCCGACTGCCGATTAAAGCACCAGGAAAGTGCACAGTAGTCTTCTGATTCCCACCGGGTTCCTATGAAAGATGGCGCTGCGGGTGGGAGATAGGATGTAGGAGCTTTCGAGGTGCTTATTTTTACTATATGGCTATCGATGTTTTGTAATTGATGAACCTTTGGAAAGCCAGAATTAGCGTTCTATACTTTAGTATAAATTTGGAGCACCCTTTTCAAACGATTATAGACCACACTCATGTTGATTGTGTATAATGAATAGTTAATGAAATATAAGATAAGGAAATGTGTCCCTTCAGATTATCTACACCTTAATATTCGGATCATCATGCGAAACCAAAGGGTTTGTAAAAGTAGGCAATGAGGAAACGAATAAAAAGTTTTTACAGATTTTTTGTAATATATAGAATGAACGCTGTGATCACACATTCGAGAATCAGTTTGTCGATTTTCTGTTTGTCTCTGAACTATGGCTAATTACATTACACTGATCTATACAAATAATTTTGGCAGTCAGTAAATTCTTCGGTTAACGTAGTTTATTATTTTTAAATATCTAACATTTTTCTTATATAACTCTACATTAGATAGTATCGCACGACGATGCATTCGGTGGCTCAATAAGACCAACGTGATTGTGACCAAGATTGTAAATATAATTAAACTCATAGTCTACCACAGTGGTACTTAATACTTCTAAATACATATATTTAGAAGCAGCATGCTGTAAATTCGATACTATGCACAGCAGCTAAACGCACTTTATTCATGTGCGAGCAGAACGTAAACTAACTACAAAGGGAAGGAAACAAGTAGTGTTCTCTCTTTCTCTCTAAAACTTCATAAATGTTCGTAGTGTTACATGTTTAAAATGAAAATGAGTATTGGTAGGAAAAAGAAATCACATATGTCGGTGGATGTAGAAATAAGCACACTTATTTTCATAACTATTTTGGTTGTGGACCGCAAAGAAACAAAAACACAACTGACCTGAGTAACTGATAGATTATCTTGCCGAGCCAACTTCCGAAGAGTAGTGAAGGCATGTTCATCTAAACCTCTGTACGGTTGGTTAAAAATTCTCAAGAGACGCAGAGAGTCTTTAATATTTACCGCAAGCCCAAGGTAGCTAAGAAGTGTTTCAAGAATGACGCATTCCTACATACTTGAAGATGAATAATAAAAACAACGTACCTTATATCTGATGTTGAAATCTATCTCACATTGATGGGAACAATGGAAATTGGATTTATTAGTTGGAAGAAATGCAAAACTAAGATGTGGTAGCTTAAAGTCAGCCATCATCTCTACCACCAGATACTACTTATTTGTTGATGAATGCAATTAATCGACTAGTTACCTCAAACCAATCTAATTTATTTGACTGAACAATATAACGAGGATAAAATAGTTTCCTTTTTAATGCAGCGTTTTCCATGAATTCTACTAACAGACGATGAGCGACTCGAATTCGATCGACTAAATTATTGGCCATAAGATATTCTTCAACTTTAAGACAAAACGTATACTCATCATCGCTTATAAGAGTACGGTGTTGATAAAGACGATAACGACAAATTCTATACCAGAATTGCAAAAGGTCTTCTCCTTGTTTCACCGGGGTCTAAAGTCGTGAGCATAAAGATAAAAACAGAGATTCATAAACTTTGTCAACTTCGCGTAAAACTAGCTGAATTAGCATTAACTCGTCTTTGGGTAGTAAATACGTTTCTGTTGAAGATCCTTCCATGTCAAATTCTTGATGTCTTTCATACAGAAATTGAACTAGCGTATACACGTTTTCTTGTAGTTCTGAATCTGATTGCAAATTTGTTCCAATAAAAATAATGGGATATTCTGACATGTCGTGGTCGCTGACAACTATGCACACCATTTATCAAATACAAGTACGTGTGCTTCTAACTATAGCAAAACGTTGTTTCAATGATTCCCAAAAAGAAATAATCAGAATCAACAATTGCCTAAAACAAAAAAGTGGAAATATCGGCACAAAGAGTTAAATTCGTGGAGAAAATTAAAAACATACAAAGCAAATCACGACAGAAAAACCTGATCAAAATTGCTAATCACGCCAAGTTATCCTAATCACATAAGATTTAAATTTGCTATCTTGATCTTAATACATAAGGAATGCAATATGAGGATCGGAAAATCGAGATAACTAAATTAACCTGACAAAATTCTGAAATTATTCAAGGAGAGATAAATACAAGAAATTACAGAATTGTCAAAAGAGGAGCAGCAGTGAAATAAGAAACAATGAAGAGATTTCCACAACTTTCGTATTAATACTTTAGCATAGAAAACAGGAAAACAAAGTAAGGATTGCCACTGGTTTCCATTCCTAACCATATGTATCTGAAGCAAATAAAACACTTGGTCTGACGGACTTCGTGCAGCTAGTAGCGTTGCACTACGAAACGTTGGCTCAATTATTCTTAGTCTCATACAACGGGGTCATAAACTGGCTACTTTTCCCAACTGACAATAGCACCAGTTAACAATGGTCAGTGTGGAAACCGTAAGGACAGTATGGTTGAACTACTTCAAGGTTGCCGAAACAGTTCTTTTAGGATGACCTTAATTAATGGATAACATTCTCCTTCACTTTAAAATATCTAACATCAAACCTCAGAAATACTAAAGTAGCATTTCAAATACACGTAAGTGATGCTGTTGGGACACAGGTTTTCCAGAATCATCATCATTATCAACATAGGACCAGGCATTACTGCGTAACGGTCCGAGTTGCCACACCTCATATCAGCACATCAAGTAAAAAGGTAGTGAGGTGAAGGATGAAGATAAGTGAATGCAGTCAAAAGAAATATAAAGTACGAGAAGAAAGGAAAGAGGAGTGACAAAATAGTGAGATTCGGTATAGCGTTGTTAAGATGAGGATAATGTGTGTATACATCTGCGCCACTGACTTCGGTTCTGAGCCATATCACCTAGGGTCTCCAACCACTGGTTCCTCTTGTCCCGTGGACCCCAACCACCTAGTCTGCATCGTCCTACATGGCTTAAACCAACAGTCAGAGACTTCATACATTGGTGCCATGTTTTAGTCTGGCCACCTCGGGCCTTTTTCCAGCCTGAACCCACCTCAGCCAACATTGTGTGACGAGGCAATCGGTGACTAGGCATACGTAGTACGTGTCCCAACCATCTCAGTCGATGAAGGTTCACAACCTCGTCGACTGACTTACCTCTTCTCCCTAAAACTCTACACCTAACTTCTGCATTACTCACATGGTGACACCACGGAATACGTCCTATACTACGAAGGCAACGGTGGTCAAACACTGGTAACCTTTTCATGTCTTCCACTTTCAATGGCCATGTTTCACAGCCATACAGTAGAACAGAGCGGACTGCTGTGCAGTACACGCGACCCTTAATAGACAAACGAATATCACGGCGGCGCCATAGGTGGCGCAAATTGGCAAAAGCCAATCGAGCCTTTTGTATCCGTGCAGAAATCTCATCGGCAACTAACCCACCGGGTTGATCCTACTTCCCAGGTAAGTGAAGTGGTCAACACACTCAACCACTTCACTCTCTATTGTTAACCGCGGTACCGCTGAAGACCAGTCCTGGAGCAAAAATTTGCATTTGGGTGGTGAAAATCGCATCCCAAACATTCTCAAATTCCCACTCAAAGTGTTCAGAAGACTCTGCATCTTGTCAGCGTCTTCACCTAACAGGACTATGTCATCTGCATATTCTAGATCTAAGGAAAATTCACCTGTGATTCGGTCAACGTCTTTGTAATTAGGTGACGAGAGGGAAACCTCCATAAGAATATCTATGATAAAATTAAATAAGAATGGGGATAGTGGGCATCCTTGACGGACACCACTTGATGAGTATAGCTCCCTGGACAACTCACCATAGGCTCTAACATGCCCACAAGTGTTCGAGTAGAGAGCTTTCAATAAGGTGATGTACTTACTAGGCACGCCTTTCAGTGACAGACACTGCCATAAGACTTCTCGATCAACGGAGTCAAATGCCGCCTTCAGGTCGAGAAATACAGCTATTGTCGGGCGTCTGTAAGCATGCCTATGTTCCAGGACCTGGCGCAGTGTGAATATTTGGTCGATACATCCACGGCCAGGTCTAAAGCCTGCCTGGTTTTCTCGGGCTTGCTGTTCCCGAGCTCCACTCAGGCGTCGGAGAATTATAGAACTTAGGATCTTAGACACTATGTTTGTCAGGCTGATTCCTCTGTGGTTATCACAAGAGGACTTCTCGCCTTTCTTGAAGACTGGGATGATGAGTGACTTAGACCAGTCGGAGGGGATCGTATTTGATTCCCATATACTGGCTAACACTTCCGTTAGCCTGACTAAGAGAACTCTACCACCATTCTTGTATACCTCAGCAGGTAGTCCGTCTGGTCCTGCTGCCCTTCCCGTTTCAGGCTACCTACCGCTTTCTCAACTTCTTCTAGTGTTGGGGGACCTGTCTCTATGTCCCATTCAGGGTCCGACTGGATAGCGGGCAGCGCAATGGTGGCTGGAGGCCAGTTAAACTGTTCCTCAAAGTGTTCTGCCCATCGTCCCAGTCGCCTTCCCTGCGAGTGAATCGATCCGTCCTTCTCCGCTATAACCTCACTAACTGTTGTTGACCATTTCCCCCCAGTCTCCTTAATAAGTCTAAATAACTGTCTACTGTTACCGATCGCCGCTGCCTTTTCCATCTCTTTAGCCTTTGCTGCCCACCACTGTTCACGATCGTTGCGCAGACTTTTCGTCAGTTTATTTTTAAGTTGCGCTCGCTCTTCATTGTACTCAGAGCCTGCAGGGATGCATTCACGTGCATCCATTAGTTTGGAAGAAGCTGCTGATATCCACTGGCTCTTTTTAGCCATTATCTTGGAGTCGGCTACAGTCTCCAGTGCTGCTTTTACAGTAGACTGAAGATGGCACCAAGCTTCTTCTGGATGAGTGACAGTCTTTTGTTCCGATAACTGCCTAGCCAACTTCTCACTGAACACGGCTTTGGTGTTTTCGTTGTCCAGCAGAACTCGTAGTGGTTTTGTTGCCAAATTTTTTCTACGTCCATTGAGACGCAGGCATATACGTGCTCGGACCAACGCATGATCGCTGTCCAAACACGTACTCCAGAAGGAGCGGCAGTCTTCCACCGATCCTCTCCAGCGATGACTAATAGCAATGTGGTCTATCTGTGTCCATCGCTGAGTCGAGCTCGGTGGACGCCAGGTCAGACAGTGCCTTTCTTTATGTCTGAAATTTGTGCTGGCTAAAAATAGGCGGTTATCTGAGCATAGTTGTAATAGGCGATCACCGTTATCTGTACGTTCAGCTGGGATTCCGAAAGTGCCACCTAAGTGCCTTTCTGCCTCACTCAGTCTACCCACCTGTGCGTTGAGGTCACCTGCAACAACCACTACGTCCGAACGTTTGGCTTTCGAGAGGAGGTTAGACAGTTTATGGTAGAACTCGTCCTTCACTTCATCCGAACTACAGTCAGTGGGTGCGTAAGCAGAGATTACAAAGAGACAACGGCGAGTCTCACTATTCCTTTTAGTTCTCACTGTGCCGTTCAGCCTCATAGCGCAGAGGCGACTATCAACTGGGATCCAGTCTAGTAGTGAGTTTTCTGCCCTGGTGCTTAATGCTATACCTACACCTGCAAGACCACGAGAGCTAGCTATCGAATCTCCAGAAACTCGAAGGGTGAATTTTGCAGATTCACCAGATTGGTCAGGAGAGGTCAGGTGAATAACCACACTTGGGTCCTGTATGCGTGTCTCACAAACACAGCACACATCCATGCCCGAGTTGCTAGAGTCTTTGCCAACGAAGCCTGTTGGCCAATTTGACGGAGGGTGCGGACATTGAAGGCTCCAATATGTAATTTGGGGATGCTGTTCTGTGGACTCAGATCGTTGTCGAAGGCTGCAGAGGTAGGAGAAATTGAAGATGATGCAGCATCATTAATTAAGAGACGTGAAGGAAGATTAGAAGGTAATGATGGAGGAGGAGGATAGCAGTCAGAAGAAACTTGGGTGCTGACAGAGTTGTGAGGGCGGTTGACACTTCCCGGCTGCCCACACCGTGGAAGGCTATTTCTTCTTAAGGTACCTGAAAGAGATTTGTGTGACCGCAGAGCCCATCGGACATCTGCTTGAGGCCTGTCACACCCAGCCTTTTGAGTATGATTATTTTGAATTTTTGTATTTTTGGGGCCGGATGAGCGAAAGGAAACGACAAGTGAACCAACACCGCCGGCCCGGCAGACCGTGGGGCGTGGTGGAGTGTGTTATTTTTGGGGCCGACCTTTTCTAACCCCCCCTTCCACTGAGAAGGCTGGTCATCCAAGGGAAACACCTTACTGCTGTCACACCCCATCCAGCTAGCAGCAGTACGACTTCGCCCTCAGACCCCCATCATAGTGTAGCAATTTACACTATGACGGTAACTGCTTTTCGTCTAACCACTACCCAACAGACCTTTCTGGTATGGTAGGACCTCGAGGGAACAAGCGTTCCACCAGCATAGCTCGTTGGGTCATTGTGATATGCAAGCCCGACCACCACGTCAAGGTAGCAGCTATCGGTCGGGAGGTTTTCCAGAAGCAAGTTTCTGACTTAATGTTACTAGATAGATGCTTCGTAACATAGGCCATGTCTCGTGGTGTCAACACGTGAGTTACTCAGAAGTAAGACTTAGAGTTTTAGGGAGCAGAGGTCAGTCCGTTGATGCGGTTGTGAACCTTCATCGACTGAGATGACTGGGATATGTGTTAAGCATGCCCAACCGCCGTCTGCCTCGCTGCACAATGTTGGCCGAAGTAGGTTTCGGGTGGAAAGAAGTACGGGGCGGCCGGATTAAGACATAGCAT